GTTTTTATTTTTTCTCTTCTCATCAACATTGAGTCACAAGGGCTGACTGGTTACTTGGGTATGATTTCTTGACTAATAATTGGTTGACCATCTTCCAGATCTGAGCTGTTTGGCTTAATTCTGGCGCCTAGGAGTATTTTTAAACATGAAGACTCATGACACTTTAAAGTTTTGTATTTAATTAGCATCTTGAGAAATTCAGCCCATCATGTAATTAATTCAGATGTGTTGATGGTAGATTAATAATTTAATAACCAAGGTTTTCAAAATGTTACAGAAATAAGGTTCCCAAAGTTCTTAAATGGCCTGAGCCTCTCTTATATGTCAGCACCCTAAAAGTGACCCCCAATACAAGGCAATGTTTCTTTTTTACTAGACCTGCATGAGGACATAGTTCAAAACAAAAGACAATTAAATGCCTTAACAAGGGAAATAAGAAGGAAAATGCCCCTATGCACATAAGGGTATACTCTCCAAAAGTTACATGCTGTTACTCAGATGGGAAATACAAAAGACATGTATAGAGCTGGGCCAATTAATGCTTTTACAACTGCCCTAGTGGGAACCTTTCCTTGTATTTGACCCTGCAGCTTGCTGCTACCCTCTGCTGGGCTGTCTTCTATGATGCAATCAGCCTGTCTTAAAAATTAGAGCTATCCAACCTTGAAACGGTTGACCTCAGAAAATAGTGGGTTCCCTCTTAAAAGTCTTCCAACAGAGGCATGCTGAGCACTTTCCATGTTATGGTAGGGATTCTCTTTCGGGTATAAGTTGCTTCCAAGGTCCTTTCCAACTCTAAAATTCTGTGATTCTGTGACTTTTCATTTTCATCATTGTTTCCTACCCAAACCCCACTCCGTAGCAGAGCCTTGCACACGCTATGTATGTCCTTAATAAAAATGCTTATTGAATTGTCTCTTAGAATTAGAACCTAATATTCTAGAAAAGGAAGATGATCTAGAATTCATCCAGTTCTTTTACTTTTTGGGCGGGGGGGTGGGGTGGGGCTGGAGAAGCTACTTTTCATTTCTTTGAATTCACCATAGGGTTGGGAAGGCTCACAGTGAAATCCCTTCTCAAGATCTGGGAAGTCAGCTCAAATGCTGCAGCATAGATTTAGAACTGGAAGGGGTCTTAGAAAATCAAATAGGCTGTTTGTCTTGTAAATGAGAAAACAGGCCTTAGTGAGTGGCAGACCTAGGACTTGAACTCTGGTCTTCGGCTCAAAATCAAGTACTCATTTTACCATACCACTCTGCTTTATTTTCCTCCCAAATGGGAGGCAAATTGAAGGGAAAGAATGGAGAGAGGGAAGGAGAGGGAGAAGGAGGTAGGGATGAGAGTCAGCCAGTCTGTATTGGCAGCTATACTTGAGATCTCGGAACTGGTTACTAGTTAGTGGCAGATCTGGGACTAGAATCCGATCTCCCACCTAACTAGCTCTGCGTAACTTACCAAGTTGACTCTCCTGGCCCTTGGCCATTCTTTAATCTTGGGCCAGCTAAGCAAGAGTCACATTTACCATAGGCAAAACAGTAGTAGGAAACGTAGCTATTACCCTGGCCATTGCTGGTAGGCCAAATGCAGCTGTTAAACTAATGAGGTATTATAAGACTAGGCTGGTGGTTTTGAGACCACCATGACAGTTTACCCTTAAGTGAGGCTATAAGATTATAGAACTCACTCATGGAAAAATACTGACCAAAAAATATTTTCTAAGAGTTGATATAACTGTGTTCCCCAAATAATATTTTGTCTACCACCAACTTGTTTTTTTCTCTGATAACAAATGCCCAGAATAATATTTTGTCTACCGCCTTATTTTTTTTCCTTGATAAGCTCCAAAATAATATTTTGCCCTGACCCCTGATATGCAATTTGGCCAGCTCTAGGGCATTCATCAAAAATCATAGTATAAGAACCTTACTCTCAGAAGAGCACTTTGGAACATACCCTCCCCTCCAGGAGCACCCCTTCCTGCTAGAGGAATCCCTTTCTGCTGAATGGACCTGTGACTCTGTGCTCCCCAGCACAGCGCTGTCCTTACGTGAGTTATATTCTATGTTAGTGTGTATGTCTGAGTTGTATGTTGGGTCTCCTTTTCCTCTGTCACTTCCCCTTCTCATTACTTGTAATAAAGCTTTGCATTGAACTCCCACTGTTTTACATGTTATTCCCAGCACCCAAACTCATTAAAGGGTTGTTTTCCTGGATATCTCGAAGCCCCTGGACTTTTTCTTAGACATAAACTAGGCACCTGGACAAGGACTTAACTTATTGACAGAGCTGCACCTGCACTAATGGAGTAGGGCACTGAGAGCCCAGTAGTAGAAAGTAAGGGTCGGGCAGCTAGGTGGTGCTGTGGATAGAGCATTAGCCCTAGATTCAGGAGGACCTGAGTTCAAATATGGCCTCAGACACGTAACACTTACTAGCTGTGTGACCTTGGGCAAGTCACTTAACCCCATTGCCTAACCAAAAAAAAAAAAAAAGTAAGGGTCAGGAGGGGAACTCTGTATCCTCCCAGGAGGGGACTCCCTTATGCCAGAGGACTGTCACAAAACATGGGGTATGAGACAACTAAGACCCAGGTATAGAAGAGGGAGTTTAACCCCAGGACTGAGCTCGTTCATGTTGAACTCACACGGGTATCTGTCAGGTCTTGTAAGCAGTAGTCCGGGGCATGTTATTGTAAGTTAATGGGAATGAAGGGAAGACACACGAGGGAGGGTCTGGACGAAGGTCTGACTGAGGTTCTGGGCCAGGTGGGATCAGCTCCCTGGGGTGAAATGTGCTGTAGAATCCTTTGCCTGGTTTTGGTTGGTCCCACCATAAAGAGGATGCTTAGTGACACAAGACCTTGGCACAGATGGCCTACCCCAGGGGCAGTATTGTGCTTAGAAATCTTCATTCTTCACACTTTATTTGCAAACTGATCGGTCTTCTTGAGCCTGACTTGTCCTTTATCAGGGCCAACAGGGTAGCTGGTTTTTTGTCTCCACCTGCTGTACAGGCCTGGAAATGCAGCAGCTCTCATAACCTTGGCTGAACCCTAGTCACCTCAACAGTGCTCTCATATCTTATCCATGAGGAGCAGGGAATCTTGACCCACATTGGCATTGGGAGCACCTAAACTCCCAGTCTTTTCAATAACAGTGGTGTAACTTTTCCATGGGGCGGTTGAGCAGGGCTTATTCTCCTACCAGAGTGGGGGACTTCATGGATTATTTTCCTTGCTATGGGGTCAGGAGTGGTGCCCTGTGCATCCAAGCTTTCAGTCATCTATCTTTTAGGGATGTGCCTTTATTGATTAATAGAGACTATATTTCCTGCTCTAAGGTAGATAGAGCCAGAATAAAAGGACTTTTCTCACATGGTTATAGAACAGACATCTGGAGTTAAAATTATATTGCTACAGAAGACACACAATGTTTGTCAAAGGCAAGTTACCTGGCTCTGTTTGGCTTGGCAAAGAGCCAAGGTGATTTCATAAACCTTTCCATCAGAAGAAACTAGGATCAAAAAGCCTTTTAAAAATGATTGATAATAAAGATAGAGAGCTGTATGGGCCTGGGATTCTCCTAGAATGCCAATGGAACCCTGCTCAGTCCTTTGACAGTAGTTTGTCCTTCCTTGGTACTCTAGAAAGTGGAAGGGATCTCAGAAGTTATCTTGTCCAAGTCATTAGTTTTATTTATTTCTAAATTTAATTTTTTTTCAGTGAACAAATAACCACTTTCTCTCCTTAGCACCTTCCCCCTCCCCTCCATTGAAAAGAAAAAGGAAAACAAAACTCCTGTAACAAATATGCATAGTCAAATAAAACAAAATCTGGCCTTGGCCATGTCAAAAAATATATATGTCTCAATCTGCACCCTGGGTCCATCTGTTACATCTTTGTGAGGAGGAAGTAGTATGTTCTTGTCCAAGTCATGGAAAAGGAATCTTGAGACATGGTTGTTGTCCAGGCTATTATAGATCACCTACAGTGATAGTGGAAAGGGCACTCACCACCTTCAGAGGCATTCCCTTTCACTTTTGAATATCATATCAAGTCAAAATATGAATTGGATAGCCTTCCTCCCATTGATCCTCTGGAGCCATGTTAAACAAATCTAACCCTTCCCTGTGACAGCCCTCCAAAGGAAGGCAGTTACTATTCTTCTGTTCTGTCTTCTCTAAGCTAAACATTCCCAGTTCCTTCAATTTAAACCTGTACAACATGGTCACCAGTCCATTGACCATTGTGGTCACGCTTTTCTGAATAACTTCCCAGTTGTTAATTCTACTCCCTTATAAAAAAAATGTTGAGACACTCTAGGCCAGAAATAAGTGAAATGTGGGGTCCTGATCATTTAAAATAAGCTTCAGTCTCCTAGGAATGGCAAATGGAAGTAATGAAGAGCCTTAGGCAAAAAAGGGTGAAAGGGGATTTTGGTCATCAAAGGGTCAAAGTATAACATACTATAGCAATATGAGGTTGCTGTTTCATAAAAAGGGTTAGGTTAGGCTCTAATTTTAGGAACAGGCCTCTAAAGGAGGCCCTTTAGAAAGGCCAGCCTGGCTTGGAGTATTCAATTACAGCCTCAGAATGATAGACCTGGAAGGGATCTCAGAAGTCATGTAGTCCAACCTCCTCATCATATAAATAAACAGGCTCAGAGAGGTATGAATGACTCCTTCAAAACCACACAGCTAATTTCTGGCATAGCTGGGGCTTTTATGTTTTCTTTTTTCTTTTTAATTCCCATGGACAACCTTCATGCTGCTCATTCTGTGCCTTGATGGGGAGCCATGTAGAAGGTATTAGGGAGCTTTGCTCAAATTAAGGCATGCTCAACCTTTCACCATGACATCCCTACGAAACATCTAAGCTTGAGGAGAAGGGGAGAATCCGGAACTATAGCACTGTCTCCGTGACAACCGCTGCCGCCCCGCCCCACGCGTTTCTAGGGGCAACAGAGGGAAGCGTGCACCCACTGCAGGGGGAACCTGGACTTCCTGTGCCGCGGGGCGGAGCTTCGAGGTCTCCATGCTAACAGCTTCCACCTGTTAACTGGCGGGTTGTTAGTAGGAGCGATGGATTCCGAAAGCCTGCTGCTCTCCTTGGAGCTGGCATCGGGCAGCGGGCAAGGTTTAAGCCCCGACCGTCGGGCCTCACTGCTCACCTCCCTGCTTTTAGTTAAGCGCGACTACCGCTACGAGCGGGTGCTGTTCTGGGGCCGGATCCTCGGCCTGGTCGCTGACTACTACATCGCGCAGGGCTTGGGCGAGGACCAGCTCGGGGAGCGCAAAAGCCTGTACAGGGAGGGGGCGGGGCCAGGAGAAGAGAGGAGGCGGGGCCAGGGAGGAAGACTTCCTTAGGGGCGGGGCCAAGGGCAGGACTGAAAATGAGGCTGGGAGGAGGCGGAGCCTGGAGAGGGGAGGGGGAAAGGTCAGGAGAGGACAGAGACGGGGCCAGAAAGGAAGTTTCCTTGGGGTGTGGCTTTGGGAAGGGAGGAAAAGATGAGGGCAAGACCAAGGGGTTGGGGTTTCCCCAGGGGGCGGGACCAAAGGGAGAAAAGGAGTTGAAGCAGAGAGGGGGTGGAGCCTGGAGGAGTACCTGAGGGCGGGTCAAAGAGAGGAATGGAATTGAACAGAGAAGGCGGGGCCAGGGAAGGGTAGGGGCGGGGCCAACGGGAGGGTGTGGGAAGCATTTATTTATTTTGATTTTGGTTTTTTTTTTAGTGAGGCAATCGGGGTTAAGTGACTTGCCTAGTGTCACACAGCTAGCAAGTGTCAAGAGTCTGAGGCCGATGGAAAGCATTTATTAAGCTCCTACTATATGCCAGGCACTGTCCTAAGCATTTTTTACATATATCATCTCATCTGATCCTCACAACTGCTGCAAGATAGGTGCTATTATTATCCCCATTTTACAGATGGGGAAACTGAGGCAAACAGAATCTAAGTGACTTGCCCAGGGTCACACAGCTAGTAAGTGTCTGAGGTCTGATTTGAACTCAGGTCTTCTTGACTCTAGGTCCAGCTTTCAATAGATTGCCACCAGTTGCTTCTGAGCCGAAAGTGCAGTGAGATTAGCAGGGGTGGGGCCTAGGAAAGACTTGGAGAGAGAGGTTCCCTGGGGGTGTGGCAGGGAAGGGCTTGGGACTTCGGAAAGTAAAGGAAAACCTCATGAGTGGATTTGGTCAGAAAAAGGGTAGGTTAGGGGAGTGAATGGAGAAGGAGAGTGGCATTTTAGGAGGTGAAATCTAAAAGAGGAAAGAATAAGGTGGTCTGGGAAGGAGGGATGCTTAAGGGGGATGCAGACCGGAGAAAGGTGGGGCAAAGTGTCCGGTTAGAGCTTAGGAAGAGGGGCAGGGAGGACCGTGGGAAAGAGATAAGTACACTATAGTTGGAGTAGGGCACATCGTTAAAACCTAGGGAATTGCAGGAGACAACTTTGCAGGTGATATATGGGTGGAATCTGGCAAAAGGAGATAGTTTGGGGTTGAGATGGGGGGGTAGGCTGTAGAACCATAGAGTTTTAGAATTGGAAGGGATCTTAGAAACCATGTAGTCCAACATCCCACCCACACAAGACTCTTTTTTGTAACATTCCTGAAGAATGATTGGATGCCCCTCGAACAATTCCAGTGATAGGGAAGCTCACCACTATACAGGAGAGCAGGATTTAGGAATTTGGGGCATAGATGGCCCAAGGAAGAAACTACTAGACATGTAGAAGAAGTGTGTAGCTAAAAGGTGGTTTCAGAGCTAGTGGGGAGCTTCTTAAAGTGAGGATCTAACCATGTCATTACTCAATATATTCTACCTCCAGCATTAAATATAAAATTATCTGTTTGGTATTCAAAGCCCTTTATTACCTGGTCCCTCCCTACCTTTCCAGTCTTCTTATATCTTACACTCCCTGTGTACTCTTGGATCTAGTTGCATTACTGTTCCTCCACAAGACTCTCCATCCCTGGACTCCAGGCATTTTGATGAGAGTCCTTTATGCCTGGAACTCTTTCTCCTTCTCTCCTCCCCCTATCCAACTTCTGGCTTCCCTCGCTTTTTCCTTCCTTTCTTCTTTCTTCATGTTTATATTTCATTTTATTTTGATTTTCAGTTTCATGTTTTCTACCTCTCTCTACCCCTCTTCCACCCATTAGAAGGCAAGAAATAGGATACCAACATGTATATATCATATTTCACGTACACACATATGTGTAGTCACACAAAACACATTTTTGCATTAGCCATGTTCAGGGTGAGGTGATGCAAGAAAAATAAATTTAAAAAATGCTTCAATCCTGAGTATATTAGTTCCCTATCCGGAGGTCAATAGCATTTTATACCTTGAATCCTTTGGAATCGTGGTAGATCATTGTATTGATTATCAAGGCAGCTAGCTGGTATAGTGGATAGAGCTCCAGGCCGGGAGTCAGGAGGACTCATCTTCCTGAGTTCAAATCCAGCGTCAGACACTTACTAGCTTATGTGACCCCAGGCAAGTCACTTAACCCTGTTTGTTTGCTTCAGTTTCCTCGTCTGTAAAGTGAGCTGGAGAAGGAAATGGCAAACCACTCCAATATGTATCAAGAAAACCCCAAATGATATCTCGATAAGTCAGACTTGACTTAACAACAATTATATTGATCAGAGTCATCAAGTCTTTCACAGATGATTATCTTGATGATATTGTCATTACTATGTAGATTATTCTCCTGGTTCTACACACCCCTTTAATTCTAGTATGGGCTCCCTGCTGACTATCTCCAATTCTGTCTGCAGCTTGTTTATACATGCATGTTGTCTCTCCTGTTAGAATACCAGCTTCTTGAGGGCAGGGATGGTCTTTTCCCTATCTTTATATCCCCAGTACTTAACACAGTACTTGACACATAGTAGGTGCTTAATAAATGTTTATTGACTTATAGGCTGAGGGAAGTTTTGTTTTCTTTTTTTTTTTTTCAAGTCAAGAGGTGAGACAAGGGGAGATGAGCAAGGGAAAGGTTTGAGGAGAGTTTCTGAAGATCCTGAAGGAGGGTGTCTCAAACCCAGAACCCTGAGGTGTAAAGGGACAAGCCCTGGGCTTGAAGTTAGAAATACATGAAAGTCCTGGTTTTGCCACTCATTGTGTTATCTCAGTAGTTCCCTTCCCTTGTCTGAATGTCAGCTTCATAAAAATGGGGATAATATGTGCACTTAAAACTGTTGTGAGAAAAACACTTTGTAAAGTGTTGTCTTTGGGTTGTACTTGGAGCCCAAGTTCCTGAGTGTGAGTGTCATTGCCAGTTTGAACTGCATGGAATGGAGCCTCCTGCCGCCGGCAACAGAAGAGATGTTAACCCAGACGTCTGTGGTGAAGGGTCGCTTCATGGGGGACCCTTCGCATGAGTACGAGCACATTGAGATGCAGCGGATGACTGAAGGAGACAGAACATATGAAGACGAGGTGGTGGTAAGTGGGAAATAAAGGAAAGTCCAGATGATGTGTGTGTGTGTGTGTGTGTGTGTGTGTGTGTGTGTGTGTAGAGAGAACAGGTTAGCATCCATGATGCGACTTCTGCTATATTTTCCATAGTTTTTCCACTCAGCTAACACTATTTAAGCTATTTTAACAACTAGGCCCCTGAAGTGTCTGAAAACTCTGCTGCTTTCTCTTGGTTAAATATGATGGTTTGGAGATAATCCTGGACCTAGCCTTCCATACCATGTAAAAGTCACTGATCCGAGGGGGGAGGGAATGTAAATAATAATGAAACAAGTAGCCTAATTATCTCCTGTCCTGGTTTATGAGTGGATGCAGTCTCCTAATTTCTGTGGAAAACTTTTGAGGTTTTCCACAGACACTCTCCCTTGGAGAATATGGGGATTATCAATCATTCCTCCAGCCTCCTTTCAGTATGATCTCATTAACCAGCTTGGAGATTTCCCAACCCACTGGGCAGACCAGAGTTTGCTGAAAACTCTTACCTGGGATCATCAGATTTCGTCAAGACATCTGGCTGTAGTGCTGCTCCACACAGCCTCTGTTATTGTCTCTCCCCCCTTTCTGAACTTGTATTGGTCTGATCCACCACAGACGACCATACTGTACCTTGACCCTGATATAGTGATGTTGTTTTGGTCCTTTTCAAGAATGAAGGACAACAACCATACCACCACACTCTGTGTGTATAAGGAACTTAATAGCACAGCCTACTAGAAGCAAACATACACATATGTAGATATATACAAACCAAATAGGAGGTTGTACTCCAGCTTGACCTTGAAGGAAGCTAAGGATTCTTAAAGGTGGAGGAGCTCACTGGGCATGGTCTTTATTTTCTTTGTAAAGTATTAGGTGAAGTCCTCAGCTGAGATGGTTTGAGAAGCTTGAGAGGAGAGAAGGTAAAGGTGGTTGTGAACTGGGCTGGGAAGGTGTGGAGGGATGTAACTGGGAATGGTTAGTTCTTAGAACAGGTGGGATGCAGAGGGTCCTTAGGGTGTGATAAATGGGAACAATTGTCCTTGGCCCCATGCTTTGGTCAAACTCACCTAGTTGCTCCTTTATTTGACATACCATCTCCTACTTCTCTGCATTTCCACAGGCTGTCCCCATGCCAAGAATGCCTCCTCTCTTCACCTCTATCTCTTTGACCTCTCATCTCCTTTAAGGCTCAGCTTAGGTACCTCCTCCACCTTGCCACCTTCTGGTCAAGGTCTCTCCTCTGCTCCCCGTCATTCCCTACTTTGTAATAAGCCAGCGTCATATCTCTGCATTAGAATTTAAGGGCCTTGAGGAATGACACTTTGGCAATGTTCTTTGCCTTTTTATCCCCACCCCCAACCTCGCCCATAATAGCAATTCATAAGTATTTGTTGAATTGAATTGGGACCTACTATAGGGAGGAGACAGCCAGAACTCTGGAGTGAGGGTGGTGGGGGTCAAAGGAGGGAGATATTGAATACATTTGAAGACTTGGTGCTAGCAGATGTAAAAATGGACAGCTTGTAAGCCTGAAGATTGAATCTACACAAACATGCCCTTTGACCATCATCACCCAGACAGCATCATCAGGACAGGCGGGCTGCCTGATGACAATATCATGGCCTCATTTCTTCCACACCAACCAGGCAGGCTGCCTAATGTTGTCTGTCCTTGGCCTGCTGCCTTTTCCCTATCACGCTTCTGTTGCCGTTCTTAATATTTGCATTCTTGGTTATGCCGATCAAGGCTTGATGTTCATTTTAATAAGCTTTCATCTATATACTAATATTATGAGAGGTGAGAAGGGAGCCCACATAGTCTGATTTTTTTCCCTAGGTCCTCATCCCATGAAGGATGGCTTTGTACCCTCAGACTGTGTGTGTCTGATTTCTAATCTCTCTATCTCTGATCAGCTTATGTCCTATTCTAGGACTAGGGGGAGGTGGAAGCAGGGAGCCCAGGGACACAGCCTAGTACTCTTAATGCATTTCTTTAGATCCAGATCAAGGAGGAATCTCGCCTGGTGTCAGTCATTGACCAAATTGACAAGGCAGTGGCAATCATCCCCCGTGGAGCGCTCTTCAAGACCCCCTTTGGACCTGTCCATATCAATAGGACCTTTGAAGGTAAGTGCCCCACATCCTCTTCCAAAGAGATCTTCACTTCTTTTACCTTGAGGGAAGGCATAAGGGGGAGATGTATGTGAAGTTTCAAGGGTACAATATGGTATATTCCTGGGAATAACCTGTAATTCTTTGCCCATTTCCTTAGGTAAAGATCAGTGACTGATCCCCTGGACATTGCCTAGTGGTAGGGCTTTATGAAGTTTTGTACAGCTAACTAGCTGACCCACAATCTCTTGTTGCTAGATAGTTTGCAGCATACTGTTGTCCTGGCTCCTGAGTCTTTTCCTCATCTGGCCTGGTGTCCATGGCCTTGATTCCAACCTTGTTTTTCTTCAGTCCTTCTCTTTGGTACAAAATAGGCATGGAAGACTTAATTAGTTAGTTGGTTAGTTCCCTATCCTCAGAGTGCTATGGTCACTCCTTATGTCAGAACATTAGGGAATGGAGATGGTTATGGGGACAGGAGACTTGACTCACTCTTTCCTTCTGGGGCTTGGCTGAGGCCTTTCCACAATCCTGCCTCATATTCCTGTAAATCCTACTGCTTGGAAGAAAGAGGGAGTCAGGGGCTTTTAACCTGACTGATAATCCCCATTTGCCTCCTGTCAGGATTGACTCTGGCAGATTCCAAGAAACTCAGTTCCTACTTTCATTTTGCGGAGCCTGTGGAATTGAAGAACAAGAGCTTGCTGGAGAAAGCTGATTTGGACCCTTCCTTGGACTTTATGGACTCCCTGGAACATGATATCCCTAAAGGTACTAATTAGAGTGAAAATAGTGGACTCTCTGGTGCAAGGTCTTGTTTCTGATGGAGGAACTGATTATGTGTGTGTGTGTGTGTGTGTGTGTGTGTGTGCGTGTGTGTGCGCGCGCGTGTGTGTGTGTGTGTGTGTGTGGTTTTCTGCCATAACATCCTCAGATCTTAGTAGGTGCTTAAATATCCCTAACTTCTTTTTAATATCCCATCATGCAATTATTAAATAATTTTTAATAAAATCTTGGTATTTTGGATCTGAATACCTTCCAAAGGCAATGAGGTCCATATGTTTACCACTTGTTATGTAAATACTAGTTTTACTACTATTCTTCTATGAATCAATAGCATTGATGTGGGCATTTCCCTTCACTGATGCAGATTGCCACTCATTCTGGCTTCTAGCCCTGTAAGATTCTTGCCCTTGTAAATCTGTAAATTCCCCATAGAAGGTCTATGCAATGTACTGGAGGTCTTCCTCTAGGTGTCTTAATATTTCATGGTTACCATTGTAATACTTGGGCTGGGAGCTAGGTGCAGGGAACAGAGCACCAGGCCTAGAGTCAGGAATACTCATCTTCCTGAGTTCAAATCCAGCCTCAGACACTTACTAGCTTATGTGACCCTGGGCAAGTCACTTTACTCAGTTTGCCTCAGTTTCTTTATCTGTAAAATGAGCTGGAAAAGGAAATGGCAAACTGTACCGGCCGCGCCGACCTTGTGCCAGCCGCGCCGAACACTCTCCTCCTATAAGGAGCAGGCTGCCAGAGTCATACTTACCAGTCTTCGGTACCTACCCGGATACACACACAGAGATGACCCATCAGGAGGCTGCCAACACCTGAGCTTTATTCAGAGGCCATCACAGCAAGGCATCACAGCAAGCCATCACAGCAAGGCCAAGCAGGAAGGCCAGAGCAACAGAGCAGGAGCAAAGAGAGCGCGCTCCCGACCACGACCGTTCCTCAGTACCTACTTAACCCCTCCTCCTCAGCCTGCCTACTAGCCAATGATTGTAGGGTCAGATACCGGAAGGGGCTGTCTGAGTTTAGCGCACCAAGGGAGAGGGAGTGACGCAGGAGGCTAGGACCGGATACAGGAAGGAGGCGTCTGGGATTAGTGCATAGACAAAGAGTACGTGACCTAGGAAGTCAGGCCCAGATACCGGGAGGAGGCATCTGGGGTCAGTGCTACACAAAGGGACCCAAGAAGTCAGGAAGGTCACAGGAAGGAGGTGTCTGGGGTTGACGTTGCATATAGGGAGGGGACTAAGCAAAGGGAACTCGTCCTCTGCCGTCCCACTCCCACGTGGCACTGCCCCTTGCCTCAGGAGCACATGCTCTGGCTACTTCCTTGCACCCAGCTTATCTCACATAGCACTGCCCACTGCCTCAGGGCTTCTCCGTATCCAGCCCATCCCAGTTTATCACAACTCCGCCTACCACAGCCCCTGCCTCGACTTCCAAATACCCAGATCTTACCCCAATCTTGCCACAACGTCCACCTGGCAGTAGCCAACATCAGACAGTCCCTCACAGCAAACCACTCTAGTATTTTTGTCAAGAAAACCCCAAAATGGGGTCACAAAGAGTTGGACAGGACTTAAAAAAAAAAAACCAACCATCATTTTCTGACCTAATTCCTTTTCTAGAGTCCACTAGGTAGTATGATGGGTAGAGTGCTGAACTTGGAGTCCAGACTGGAGTTCAAATCCTGCCTCAGACACTTACTAGCTGTGTGACCCTGGACAAATTACTTAACTTTGCTCTCAGCCTCAGTTTTCTCATCTACAAAATGAGAATTATAATAGCATTACCTCACAAAATTCTTTGTTTGCAAACCTTAAAGGGCCATATAAGTGCTAACTATTAGTGGCCATACATGTCCTAGATATAGTCCTTATACTTGTCCTCTTTACAGTTTCAAAGATCTCCTGGCTTGTAGAGACTGACTTTTTAGGTCTGAAAAAGACCTAGCTATTTTTGGAGAGGGTAGCAGAGGCTTAATTGCTCTCTCAGCCTCTGGCATTCCCAGTGGAGAGGAGGAAGACTTATGGTAGATGATATTCTTCTGAGAGCCACATGAAAGAACATGAGATCAGACTACAGGAAATCAGACAAAGCACCGAAAAAAAGGGGGGCTATCTAAGGACTAACTGAGTGAGGGCCATATTTCCATTCTCTTCTAGAGATGAATCATATATTTATGGAAATTTGAGGGTGCTGGTTTCCAGTGGCCTGTGTGTTCTTTTAGCTAAGTGATGGGAGGAGTGATAGGAAGATGATTGGGATAAGAGAGAAGGTGGCAAATGTTTCAGCTCAGCTCCCAAAGCTAGCGAAGCTGATGAATATTTTGGCCACCCAGAGATGTTTCCTACTGCTCGGCAGTGGTTTCATACTCATTTTATACTGCCAAGCTTATTTTTATTTGGACTATCCAATGGTGGGTTACTGATGAATATTTAATCCCATCCTGACTACCCACCACTCATTTTCTCCCTCTGCATTCAGTTGGTGTGGGCAGCAATCAAAGCAAACTCATTTGTCAGGACTGGAGGGTCCTAGCTTTAGATCTGGAAAACACCTTAGAAATCATCGAGTTCAACTTCCTTTTTGTACAAACTGAAGCCCAGAGAGGTTAAGTATTGAAATATTCTGGCCTTCCCCTCTTCTACCAGTTATGTAATGCATTCTGGAACCAAATAGAAGTGACAGTAAAAGGGCTTTGCAAACCTTAATGTACTATATAATGTGAGTTACTCTTAGGGTGATAATAGTGAAGTAGACCATGTGTGCTAGCGGTCCACCTCATTATTATCACCCTAAGAGTAACTCACATTATATAGTACATTAAGATTTGCAAAGCACTTTTTTTTGTCATCGTTCAGTCATTTAGCTGTGTCCGACTCTTTGTGACTCCATGGACATAGGTCCTTCTGTCCTCCACTACCTCTTGGAGTCTGTTCAAGCTCATGTTCATTGTCTCCATGTGTCTCCATGACACTATCTGTTCATCTCATCCTCTGCCTCCCCATTTTCCTTTTACCTCCAATCTTTCCCAATACTAGGGTCTTCTCCGATGAGTCCCATCTTCTCATTATGTGGCTGAAGTATTTGAACTTCAGCTTCAGTATTTGTCTGACAATGAATAGCCTGAATTAATTCTTTAAGTGTTGGCTGATTTGATCTCCTTGCTGTCAAGGGACACTCAAAAATCTTCTTCAGTATCACAATTCAAAAGCGGTCGATTCTGCAGTGCTCAGTTTTCCTCATAGTCCAACTCTCATAGCCCCCTTTCCTTACATTACTGAGTATCTACTATATGTAGACTAATGTGCTAAGCAACAGGTGTGCAAAAAGAGGTATTAAACATGATCAATTGAGATAATGCAAATAAGCATAAACTAAATGTAAGTGACCTCTGCAGTAAAACTACTTACAACTCATTGGGGAAATTATATATATGTGCATATATAATTATAAATAAATGGGTATGCACACATATACATGCATGTATACATATGTACACATTTGCACATCTACATATGTATTACAATGGATTTGTAATTCTCTCAGGAATACTAATTCATTTGTTGCAAATCAAGCTCCATGCATGACCACTCTCCCATCCTGTGTGATAAATTCTCTATAGAGCATTTCTCCCAGGCACTAGAGGTCTTTCTGAGGGTTGCCAGTCCAATTCCCAGGCTGTCTACTCCTCATTCTGTCTTGTTGACCAACCTCCCCTCCCCGATGCCCTCACTTCTTCTTTGGTCTTCCATATCTTTGGTGATGTCTTCTATGCTATTGTTGCTGTACAAGTTATCAATGATAATATGATGCAGCTGGCTTGTGCCCACTACACATCTTTTCATTGTCCTTCAAGTCATTTATGATCATGATTCTTCTTATGTTATGGGACTCTATGACTGACAGTCATGCAATATCATTGGGAGAATATTGGTGCTAAAAGATCTGCCTTTGTATTAGTGAGTGGCATGAAATCATGAAACAGGACATAGACATATAGAAAGATAAAGAACAATGTAGAGTATAACATATTAGTTGCTGCATGATTTGGCATGCAAATAAGTCCTATAAGTATTTAGAGTAGGCAAGGAGTGATTACTGAGGGCTAGAGTGAGGAAGAGAGGTTTCATAGAGTCATTAAGATCTGAGCTGGGTTTTGGATAAATTAAAGAGTTGGACTTTATCCTGATTTTTGAAGAGGGGATGATGTATAGCCACATGAGTATTGGGGGTCCTTATCCTATTCCCAGCTGTAGTAAGTAGGATGCCCAAAGAGCAGCTAACTACATCTCTTCATTTTTCTGAGGGGTTCTTCTGAATAGTTGGGGGTGTCTTTTCTAGTGTTCTTGGCTTGATCCCCCAGTCCAGTGCACTCTCCCCAATATCAATTACCAGTGCCACTTAATACTTCCTCAATATCATCAATATCATTGATTAATGATGCCTTAGTATCAATTTGGCCACTTGCTTCCTCTTCGATATTAATTAACCAATTCCTATAAATTAGCTTTTACAAAATGATATTTACTGAAAAGATAGTAGCAGGAAGCAAAATGCAAAAGCGCCCCCTGAACCATCAGGCACACTCTTCCCTCTACCACCTTTGGTTCCATGAGGGAGTAGGCCCAAACTTGAATGCTACAAAGCATTCATCCTACTAAGTTCACTTCTCCACGTGGCTTAGTCAGTGGGTGTAGTCACTCCCTTGTTGCAGAACACCACCCTGGGCTGGGCCATGCAGGTCTCTCCTCAGAGTTGTTCAGGCACATCAGGCCCAGCTACTGGCAAGCTTCGGGATGGCCTCCAATTCCTGGACCCCCAGTGGCTCTACTGACCTTTCAGAACTCACAAGGTCTTAGTCCAGTTTGCTCCGACTCTAAAACTCCTTCGCTAAAGAGGAGGAAAGAATATGCAGGACAGGCACAAAAGCAGTAGCTGGATGGGGAGGTAAAGGCCTGAGGCCTCTTTCCCCACCCAGAGGCTTATAACATTTTGTCCTCCCG